ACCTTTGTATACATTGTGATTATAGTTATTACATATATTGCACTCAACCAGATAAGGAGGTAAATCCAAGAGAATGTTATGAGCATCATAGTCATCATTAATGTATTCATAGAGATTATATACATGTAAGTTCTTCACAATTGAAATCAATAAATTTATATATATTATGTACTCTTAATTGTATATAACCTAATCTAAATGTTGCATTTTATTTTTTTTAGTTGATCACTTGTGTAAGTACTTGGCCCTCAGGTTTGCTTTAGACAAACACTACGATGAACATGGTATGCAGTCTCCTCCAGAAAGTTCTCCAGTCATCATCTACATTGCTGTAACACCAGGACATTTCCATCATTTGAGTGGAAACATGAGTCTTGACCAAGTGAATGACAAGTACTGGAAAGTCAATAAGCCATTGGAGATGTACTATGCATTTAGAAAGACATGAAAACCTTTTTTATTTTCAACCAGAAAATTTTATGTTGTTATTTATGTTGTATAAATTTCATAAATAATTTTTTTCTTACTTGTGGTTGACAGCTAAGCATCATTATCAGACTGAAAAAAAATTCTGTTTAGGTCTTGGTTAGGAATTCTGGAAATTCTACAGATTTCCTGTTGGTATCTAGAATTTCTTTTACACTTTATAGACTAAAATTTTGAGTGTTTTCACAGAGAAGTAACGTAACAGAGATAAGATCTCAATTTTATTGCACCAACACAAATTAAATGTCAAATACATCCAGTGTTGACCAAAATACTATTTTGTTTCAGTTTAGAAATCCTATTTTCTTTTGTATTTTGAAATATATTTTTCAACTATTTTATTTCAGTACTTTGAAAAAAAAAAATTCATTAGTGATAATGAAAAAGTATATATTGTAAATACTAAAATAAAATAGGCCTAGCTGAAAAATATATTTTTAAAAATACAAAGTAATATGAAAATAGTATTTTGCTCAACACTGACTACACTTGCTGGCCAGAAAAAGCCTAATGGTTTAATGCTTCATATAAATATATTGGGTCTTTTTCATACCCATTTGGTTCATTTCCAGTACACACTTCACATGAATTTAAATATTATTTAATTGAAAAGTTTGAAATTTATGTAGTTTTTCCCTTCACGATTAACCTGATTCTCATTTTCATAATTGCACAAGTTGTATCGACATAGAGCCAGTTCCTCAGCTTACTTTCTGCAGTGTTAATTGTATAAAATACATAGTTGACCATGGCATTTGAAATTAGGAGACTTAAGTGCCGATTAAGGTACTGTTGACAATTTTTTATTATTTTGGCTCCCCATGGGCATTTTTCTCTTCCCTGACTTGGGTTGATAATTTGACAACTTTCATGTTTGAATTTAATTTGCTGTTTCCAGAAAGTGCATGTCACTGCCTCTCAACAGTATGAATAGAAGCAGATATATGTGACTTAAGGAAACTGCCATTGGCATTATGAAGGGTTTGTTGAGAGAACAGTAGATGGTGATAAAATGTTAATCGTCAACAGAGTTTTTACATTCTTTAGAAGCTGTGCCTTGATCTGACAGGTAAATGCAATGATAACGTCTTTGAAGCAATACTTCATTTCCACTGCGTATGTGTCAGAAACATTGTATTCAGTGATCATCTGACAGAAAGTCATAGCCAAAATAGATAGAGTTGAGATGTGTAATGTATTTCAAAATCAAGCTGAGAAGGCACCACAATTATCTTCAAAACTGTACTATAAAAGTCCAATAACTTCTGTGTGGTGGCTGTGATATTTGCTTATTCTGCTTAGAAATTGTAGTTCTGAAGGCATACTTCATGATGCAGTCCCTTGATTAATGTCAGATAAATGCAATTACAGGGATTGGAGTCATTCTGCACTCTAGCAACTAATCTTTGGCTAGTTGAAACTGCCATCCAACTGACTAAGAACATGACTAACCAAATGCATTTTTATGACTCTACCACCTTATATTGGATAGTTGTGTCAATTTTTTTTTATCCACACCATCATTAGTTGTTCAGTACAGAGTTGTATATTCCAGATGAAGCTTATTGCTGTGATAGAACCAGTTGAGATTTGTGAATAATGAATTTGAGATCACAACTAATGAAGGAACCAAATAAGTTAAAAGCTTTGCCACTAACTGGTACCCTTCTACCATTGAATTAATGCTGTCACCACCAATCTTAGTAAGTTTTGAGATCTCCTGCTTGTCTTTGATGTAAGCTGTAAACTTCTTTTACTGCATTAGTGATTGTAGTGGCTGCTCCATCCTTCACTCCTGTAAGTGTAAATAATGTAGAAACAATATCAAGTCTTGATTCATTAAAGTAATGAATCATTAATACAAAACATTTCTGCATACCAAATAGGGTTGTTTTGCTCATGGTGTGTGGAGTCTGCCATGGCTTGGTAGTCAGGGCTTTTGACTCATGATCTGAGGGTCACTGGTTCAAATTCTGACAAGGAAATCAACTTGTAATTTGATGGTCACATAGCCATTATAATGTGAAGGTCAATCTTACTATTGTTTATTAAAAGATTTTCATAAACTATTTTTTTTTTATCAAATCAAGAAAACAAATTAGATCTGAAAGGAAATTTTTTGATCTGGAAACAATGCAGTTAAGTCAGACTGGTCATTTCATACTTTTCTTACAATTTGTATAAACTAAAATTTTTGTCTGAGAGAGAGAGAGCTACTGATATACGAAGAAAAATAAATAATGAATATTGGCATTTTGTGAGAAAAAGTACATAATAAAGAAAGCAAAGGCTTGCTCTATTTTAAGGCATTTATCATATAAATATATAACATTGAGAAAACAATGCAAGGAATTTTTTTGGAACAGTAATCCAGTCTTCCTGAGATAATATTTGTGATATCAGTATAGAGTAGATAGTCAACTAGTCTACCAAATGGTATTTGAAATTTATAGGCAAGCCTCATGAAATTTACCACAAAAACAATTAATTCCAACAATTATACTAAAAAAGAAAAAATGTAGGAGAATAGGTGAATTTTTTGTTTTATTGTACAGATTTTAAAAATAGATGAGAATTTTATAAGGTGTCACTTGATCTTGTAATAAATGTTTTTCATTTCCCATTACATTCTCATGTTATGACCATTTATTTGAAAAAATTGTGTTGTGAATTGTACTTTATGTTTTTAGTTCTTTGTACAATAATGTAGTTTATGTGCACATGTAGCAGTTGTGGGATATATATATGTAATGCATATTAAGTATTTGATATTTTCCTGCTCAGTAAGAAATAGTCTGAAACAATTGTATTTGTACTGCATGTGTACTGAGAGGACCAGTTTTTGTATAGCTAGAGTGGTGTATTTGTAATTGTTGGATGATTGTGTACATCCTGCTATGACAATAAAAAAAAATACATGTGAAATACTCTTCAGTAGTTACTGTCTTACTTATCCAAGTATGATTTCCTAGAAAAGGAACTGTAATTTTAACAGTATTATACACAAATTGCACAGCTGCATTAAGATAACTGAAAGTCATATGCATTTTAATTTTTTAATATTGGTAAGCATCAACAGTGGGCTACCTTAAAGTTATACGCTGTGTATAAGGCTTCATTCCTTTTTTTTAAGGCCACTGTGTAATGACTTTTGAGAACAACACTATCCAGTTGTGAAGAAGGATGAAATCTATACCCTAGTAAGTTTATGGATAGTTTCATACATGCACTTAGAGTAATGTGTTTACTTGATAAATTCATATAAAACCTTAGAGCAAGGGGATAGGTCTGATTAGTAATAGGAGCATTGGTCACAATACCAATTATGAAATAATTGTATAACTGCGAGACTTAATGAAATAGAATGGACACAACATGAAACGAAAAATCTTGATTAAAATAGACTAAACACAAACATTGTGTGTATTTGCTTTATTGACAGGGAACGAAAGCTTTTACTGGATCTTCTTGCCTCAACTGATGAAGTTGAATCTATATACTAGACTGACTAAATTTTACATTTTTTACTTTGCAAAAAATGTCGTATTTACCCATACAAACTAGCAATACCCACATAGGTACCCATTCTCATTCTGACAAAGGTAAGGCTGTAACTTCTAATTATCACCTGAACTACCGTTGAAGGACATTGTTGTCGACATTTTTGCACAACGTGCAGTATTGCAGCAAAATCCTCCTACAGGCAGAACTAGTATTATCTTCTTGAGAACGGCAATATAACAAAGGCAGCTAGAATGAAGTCAACTTAATGGCTTTCTCAACTATGTTATGTGAAACACGTGGTATATTCATATACTAGGTATGTCAAAGAAAAAGTGAGAAAGCAAGGGTAGACGAATCTTTGGTCTGATACCAATATGTTAACTGCAGCCATCAAGTCTTGAATTCCATTATGCTAAAACCTTTTAATTTTAACTGTTATTTAAATGAAAAATTACCTCACATTTATTGGCTTGTGTGTATTTTTATCTTTCCAATCCAAACATGATCACGAAGCAGGTGCAAGCATACAGGTTGACATACTCGTGGATTCAAAATTTTGTAGCATTCCAAAATTTGCAAAAACAGAAGCTTGCAGTCATCTGATCCCTGCAACATTAAGAGGTGTGTGGATCTAGTATGTAGAAAGGAGAACTGTGGTGATTTTGTCACCAGATAAAAGACCAGATTGGATTTGAAGACAGACAAGATATTCATCAAAGTAGAACAGCACAAAAAACAAAGGCTGTTTGTGGTAAGAACTGAGATGATGGAGATTATACAAAAAAGGAATAAAAAATGCCAAGCTTTGAAATTAGGATGGTTAAATTTCTTTTAAGTCATTCAATTCAGAGTAGCTTAATATTTAGATTAAGAAAAGGGCAAGACCTCACTAATGTATCTTGGCTCTTTTGGAGTTGAACAAGATCTTCATATTAGCACCAAAATAATTTTCAAAATTCGCATTATCCCTATAACCGACCAGTCAAATGACGAAGTCCTGGGAATGTTGTATGTTCCACTCTATGTGACAGTATAAGATAACTTTACCCAAACTAATGTTAGCTATGATACAACTGCCCTGTAAGACAGTAACCTTTGACTGTGAGACACGTGTAGTACCTATAGCTAATGTTTAGACAGGATTTATCAGACTCTTGAATAGAACTCCTAGAAATTTGATTTTTATTCTGTACTAAAATTAAATTCCAATTAAAAGAGAGTGAGATATACGGCATCTGCATATCGTAAACTTCCTTTATTCTGGCTGCTCGTCTTCAAGCTGACTTAAATTTGAAACCAATTTAATAAAATGCAATCCATATAACTTCAAGGAAAAACCCAATTCCTTGATTTGACTTGACATTGTTGACATCTAGCAGCAGTAGATGCAGATTATGGCAATACACTATACAGACATATATACCAGACTTGCATTCAGCAGGTATGACAAACGACTCTGACTACCACTCAAACAAGTACCATATGACAATACACGAATACCTATAATTATATGGGTTGAAAGAAAACATTAAATTAACATTTCAACTTTACAACAAACAGAAACATTAGGGAAATTAATCTTTTATTTAGATTAAACTTTAAAGCAAACAACTTATTAAATGTAGTGACATAAACTGCAGTATACAGAGCGAAAGTCTTCAGGCAGAAGACTTTTGAAACATCGTCCTGTATACTTCTGTTTATACAACAGGCAGTTATTGCCCATTCAAACAAATTTCACCATGAATACTCTGCCTAAACAATCTATCAAAGAATAAGAATTACAAGTTGTCCATGATGTAATACTGGCATTTCACACAAAATATTATGAAGAAATATTCTACAACATTACTAATGTTCTAGGTATCCTAGCTGATGCAGTTGGATGCTAGCCTCCGGTGTTATAGGCTCTTTAAGTAAGTATCATCGTTTACTATTTCAACTGCAAAAACCTAAGGAATCTTAGGTAATCTATGTCACACAATTAACACATAACTTCATTCCATTTTAGTTTTCAAATTACCCCAACTGCTCTGACATGAGTAATCTCAGGTGCCAAGATACTATAAATGCACATTGTCATTCCATTTCGTAGCTTGGAAAGCAAGGGGCCACTTGCTACAATGACATGGAGTTCGGTATTTCTGCCACAGACATGAATAAAAAAATAGTTGCTCAGGTACTGGCCCCTCTTTCTGTGACACATCGTAAACAGTAGGGGAAGGTTTAATGTAATCTTTTTTTGGCATTTTGATAAATCTAGACCAATTGGGTATCTAAGGTTTATACATTGCTACAGTATACCAGAGCCACACCCAGTCTCTTGCTTGAACCGATGTCCTTACACTGTCTTATACGCTTTCTTGTGTCTTATGGCCACATTTCACATTTATTGATATGTGAATTCAAAATAGTTTTTACTATTGTAAAGCCATTAAATTATGTGGATGTTTGAAATATATTCTCCAAATAAGTCTTAAATAATTTTTAAATGCATACTTAAAAATAACTGACTATATTTATGAAAATACTGTTAAGGCAGCGGAAGTCACGTGACGCTGCTAGCGCATGCGTGACTGAGTTTCTCGAATTGTCGGGGAAGCTAGAGTGTGATCGAGACGCCTCTTTATTAGTATATAAGCCTGGAGAAAAAGGCCAACAGGATTGAATGTATAGTTCAGCGAACAGTAGTTACGGTTTTTCGGGTAATATAAAGTGTGTGTTGTGCACTCGTAGAGAGCGAGGCCCGCATGGCCAGTTGGTTAAGGGGCTTGTATAGCTTTGCGCGAAATTCAAAACAAACAAACGTAGAGAGCGAAGTTATCGAGATTGTAAATCTACAATCGCTGTGATTTATAGCGTGTATTATAAAAGTTGTTAACTTTGAAGTGACGAAAAACGTACTGATTGTGGAACTAGCGTGTACTAATAGTTTGTATCGAGGAAGAATAAACTGGTTTAATCAAGAAAGGACTTGTGTAGCTGAAGATCCTCTTAAAGAATTTCTACCGAAAATAAACAAACAAGCAGATACGTATCAATACCATTAATTGTAGCACGTAAATCAATACTGGCAGTTCTTCACTTCTACGCATACATAACGTTAAACTTATAAAAGTTGAAAGCCTACGTTCAAAAAAGTTTTAAGTTGTGAATAAATGTTAACTAATAAATATTCAAATAGAAGAAACACGACAAGAAAAAAGACGCCGTTTAGCTCGAGAAAGACAACAAAGACGTCAAGCTGCATGGAACCAACAGTAAATACATCAAAGAAGACATTCAGTTCGGATTCAGTATGTTAATAAAACATCAAATGAAAGTCCTGAAGAAACAGAGATGCGACGATATTATCAAAGAGAAGACAACGATTGAACGAAATGATCAACAAAGATTAAATCGACAAATTACAGATGTGCAAAGACCTACAGGTCAGTGCAAAACAATTTCAACCTTACCAAGGTGTTAGTTCACTTCTTGAAACATCGATTGATCAACATTATTGTGATCCAATGAACATTTCATGCAAGTTTTGTGGCTCATCAAATTTTGAAGGTGAAAAAACCTGCCGATGAAAAAATTCAAAAACTGTTGCCACAAGGGAAAAGTTATGCTAACACGGCCAAATTATTCACAAGAACTTCAATATTTGTTAACAGATAAATGTATCCATACCACAAGCACTTTAAGGCCAACATCAGATCTTAAAATAGTGCATTTGCATTCAAGTCTATGGGAGCTGCAATCAATGAATTGTCATCTCATGGTCCTTATTGTTTCCGAGTTCATGGACAGATTTATCATGCTACTTCCCACTTACATCCGTCAAACGGAAGTGCACGACAATTTTGTTAGCTTAATATAATCGATTCAAGTGAGACCATAAAAGGGCGAATGAATTAGGAAGCCAACCGAGGATGCATTAGGGAAGTGATGCAAACTATTGACCTGAGTCAATAATAACAACAATGTGTGTTCCAGGAGCTATAACATTTTAAGAGAAGTG